ATGAATTTTTCTCACCAACGACAATTCTACTGAAAGAAACCAAGCATTGCTTGCTTGCTTGCATGCTTAAATCCAACTTCTGATATCCTCTTTCGAGTTTTATTCTTTTCTTTTTTTACCTCCTGCCTCGTTGAGTTCTTATCTGACAGAGTTATGCTATATATGTTATAATACTACTACTACTACTACTAATAGTGTTATTACTATCATTCGAAAAGAAAGAATAGTAAACTTCGAGAATGCTTTTGGTAGAATTCAGCTATGAATTCTGATGACAAATGTTCTTTCCTTCAATCATCTCGGGGGAAAGGGAATGAATAAAAAATAGGAACGAAATTGTTTCTTCTTTTTTTTTTTTTTAGGTAAAACGGAACATATCCACACACATTCCATTTATTATTATTATTATAATTTTGTAGACAACATATATTTGAAGACAACAAAATCTAAAAGCTCGTTTGCCGGTCACTCGAGTATCTTATCTTTGTTACTTTTTGTTTTTACATTTCTCAGGGAAAAAATAAAAAATTATGATTTTGAAGATCACGATCTCGAAGATTATTTAACAATGAAGATACCATCTCAAAGGATAAAAAGGTTAAACAGTCATATCGTACAGAAAAGGATACCGATAATCATGCTGGTTGGCTCAGAATCAGCTATAAAAAGATGGTGAAACGTTGAAACCTAACAATGGTATCACGACGAAGCTTTCTATACTATACTCCCGATGTCTCGATTTCCCGTCAGTGGCTTCTGTAAATCTTCCTGGGACTTTTCCTACCAGCCCTGGGATTGCACTCCTACTGCTTCACGCGGATTTTGACCGCTTCTACTCAATGCTTCGGACGAAAACCAACGAGTACAATGTTAACGTTACGTTACGTTACGTTACGTTTGCTGTACGATGAGAAAGAGAAGAGAAAGAGAGAGAAAAAAAATCTAGGAAAACTGAAATATATATTTCTTTATCTATCTTTACTGATATAAAGTACCAGCTACCGGATTTAATTTTTCTAAAAGCTCAACGACAATAAAAGGAACTAAAACATACGTGTGGGATCAAGTGACCTACCATAACAAATACATACAAAAATATATATATGAAAAAGTCAACTATGGGCACTGGATAATTCGATAGATAGAACAGTCACATGGAAAGAAAAGATTATGGGTTTGAGTACCTCCAAGTTTTGAAAAATACAATTTTCTAATAAGGATCCACGTATTGGCAAGGATCCACATAGTGGTCATCCCCCTCGGGGGTGTATAACTTATGCTTCAGTTATAATGTTTATTTATTTTCCTAAAAGATAAAGATATTTAAAAAAAAACTGAAAAATATGATTTAAAAAACATAAGAAAAAAGGATCTCGCGTGTCACTTTCTCGTACGTTATGTGATCTTGTTACAAATTTCAATATTCGAGATAACTTTCAAACTTTTGTCGAAAAATTCGATTAAGTAACAGAAAAACATGACGCATCATAGGAGGTATCGCGATTTCGGACTTTCCTGAGAAAGAAAAAGGAAAACAAAAAGAAAATGAAAAGGAATAAAAATTTGTTAAGTACTGAGAATAAGATATACAACAGGATAGCTCAATGAATCCTTATCGGTGTGTAATCGGTGTGAACTAGACAGGTATACGTAAGTATTTATTTCCGTGAAACTAGATCGTAACGAATCTTCACTTCTATAATACTTCTGTCTCTTTCCTTTTAACAATTCTAACCAACCCTAACTCTAATCTTTTTCTCTTTATCTTTGTCTTTTACTATCACTAAACGTACCCTTGGTAGATAGATAGATAGATAGATAGATAGATAGATATCAGCCCTGTCGTCAGGTTGAAATTAATTTCGATGTACTTTCCGTTCCAAGGTAGGGCTTTCGAATCTAGATAAGGGAAACCCTCCTACGATATCTCTCTCTCACTCTCTCACAACCACTTCGAGTACGACCCTTTTGTTAAGCGAATTTCTCCCTAGAGCGAAACAGGTTACACGGGTCTAACTTCTCGCACGGTGGCACGCCTATTTAATGTACCTTTCTACTTGAGCCTAACGCCCTTTTTAACATTAGAAACCATACTCAAACTGGTGAACAGGAGAAATGAATAAACGTAATAAAATACGCACAAGTAGTAATAATAATAATCAAACAAATTTTATTCAAATTTAATCATTGAGATAATTAATATAAATAATGTGTTTAATTAAAGTAAACACAAAATAATAAGAATGATAGATAAATAGATAAGATAGATAAATAGATAGATAGATTGATGGAGAGAGAAAAGAATCTGCTGCACGATGAGAGAAACAAAATGATAGATAAAGATAGAGAAAGAAAATGAGTATGTTAGTGAGTGAGTGAGAGAGACAGAGTATGGATCGGTTAATCAACGTCTCTAACGATCTTCCTTTTCGCGTTGGAATTCGACAGGAACGCTATATCGGTGCCGAGAGAAATCAAGGGTGTCGACGTGTAGGAATTAATTCCAGAGTGCCAGGACGCGTCCTTTCCCTGAGAATGTTTCGTCAAGAGAGAGAGAGAGAGAGAGAGAGA